CCTACCCCTGCTATAGGATATTAAGTTCTGTTCTTCATTCATAGAGCATTCAGCAATGCACCACCAAATTTCAATAGGCAGCTGCAATGCTAGACTTGATGATAGGAGATGGATCCTAAGATGCATTCTGCTAATGGAAGGTGTTTCCTCTACCATTTTCAGGGATCCACCGCCCCTTTGCACAACTCACTTTATTCCTCTGAATCTCTGTGCAGCATTTTTAAAGGGCTGAGAAGGGGCTGCGATGGAAGGTGCAAGGTGAATGGAAGTCCTCTTCTGTCAGCCCAGTCATGGTGCTTGAATCTGGATCCAGCCTAGTAGCTCAGCAGATGTATAAACTGAGACAGTTCAGGGGAAATTCCACATCTGTTCTCTGATGCTTAGAATGAGGCATTGCCAGAAGAAACTGCAATCAGGAGCTTGCCTGAAGCAATAGATAAAAGCACCAACTCTGCCTTCCGGATAACATGTCACATGAAACCTTGGGGGTCATTAATCACAGCTCCAAGAAGGTGAACATGAAATGTGTATCCTTGTATCTTTGAGTGTATAACGCTGTAGAAATAATGCTGTTTAACTGCCATGGCTCCATCTTACAAAATTCTGTGAGGCACCAGAACTCTTTGGCAGAGAAGGCTAAAGACCTTGTAAAAATACAAATCCCAGGATTCCATAGGAGGGAGCTACATTATTTCTATAGAGTGGATGCATCCCACTTCACTGACTATAGAATGGTAAGTTCTGCTCCCTTCTTCCTTACTCTAGTGTTACTCAAGTGAGGCTACTGGCATGGGGATTTATGTGCTTGTGCGACTTCTGTCAGGTGTGGATTGTGTGTTTGTGTGACTTCTGTCAGGTGTGGATTGTGTGTGTATGTGGCTTCAAGCCACCTGTCAACTTATGGTTCTCATGAATTTCCTAGGGTTTTCTTAGGCAAGGAATCCACAGAAGTAGTTTTGCCGGTTCCTTCCTCTGAAATATAGCTACAGCACCTGGTATTTGTTGGTGGTCTGACATCCAAGTACTAACCAGCTTAGCTTCCAAGACCAGATGGAATGGATTCTGGTGCCTTTAGGCTATTTAGGCGCTTGTGTAGGTTACCTACCTTTCCAAAATTAATTACTTATTATTATTATTATTATTATTATTATTATTTGCACACATATCATATGAAAAAATGTACAATACAGAATTCCAAACCACTTGATCAGTATGTTATCTTAACTGTGTACATAGTTGCCATCCATAACATTATTCCATCCCTCACATACCCTCCCACCTCCTAAAAATTTAGGTATATTGTGATTAGGATTTTGGTCATGCATCATTTATAATATATTTTTCTTTAGACTATTGATTACATTCATCTACAAATTCAAATTACTAGTGAGATTGTTTATCGACTATGCTGTGTTCACACATATATAAGACATATATAAACTAAAAGTAAGGATAAATGAAAAATATGACCTTCTCATCCCTATAAATTATTTCAGTCATCAGCTGCTTATTGACATTATATTTACCTTGTTGTATGCCATTTCTGATCGAAACCTACCTTTCCAAAATTAGAATATTCTTTCCTGGTCCACTGAGTTGTATTAATTTGGTTATCAAGAGTGCCACTCAGGTGAATGTCTCTTAGCTTTATCTAATATCTAATTTGTATTGAAAGATTAATCCTGTTAAAATACAGCTGCCAGATATTATCCCTGGAACCTGGAACTAAGATTGCCAGAGTGAAAACTAGTGAAAGCTCCTGTTCCTTTAATGGTTGTGTAGAAGAGGGCATTTCAGCAGGTGCTGTTTATAATCAACCAGGTAACAAGAAACATCTGCTGAAATTTCTTCAAACATTAGGCCTAAGTATTCTAAAGGCCCCCGATCCCAGCTTACCTTGGAAACTAAGCAGGGTCAGCCCTGATTAGTACATGGATGGGAGACCACAAATAACTACCAGGTGCCACGGGCTATATTTCAGAGGAAGAAAGTGGCAAAACCATCACTGAGTATTAATGCCTAAAAAAACTCTTATGAAACTCATGGGTTGCCATTGGTTGACTTGAAAGTACACACATAACATACAACCATTAAAAGTACTGGAGCCATTAAAGGTATAGAGCAGTGGTTCTTAACCTTGTTGGAGGTACTCACCCCCACCAGTTTCATATGCGCATTCATCGAACCCTTCTTATGATTTTTACGCATTCACCGAACCCTTCTACCGCCAATACAGACGGACCGTCAGCACCATCCGGTGAGGGGAGTGGGCCGCCGTGCTGTCAATCACGCCACACGGCCAATCAGAGGGCCGCTTCTGTCGGTGGAGGCGGGGCAAGCTGGTTTGGTTGGATGGGGCATATAAATAGTGGGGCATATAAAATGTATACAGGTTATCACCTGCAGCCAATGATGTATGAGCGAGGAGTGTCATCACGCATCATATGAATCGGATGTGTGTCTTGACTTCCGCCGAACCCACGAGACTGACTCACCGAACCCCTGGTGTTCGATCGAACCCAGGTTAAGAACCACTGGTATAGAGCTTTTACTCTGACAATCTGACCTATAGCAAAATGTTGTACAGTAGTAGCAACTTTTGAATGTATCAGATGCTTATCATGGCAGTGCCCCTAACCATATCTCCCAAGAACAGTCCAAGAATG